AATAAATGATAAATTTTATAAATATTGAACCAGACTTGGATCCCATGAAAGTTAAGGGAATTGTTCTTTCTTGGAATTATAAAAAAGACAGGAAACGTTCATAAATTCTAAATTACTTAGCAAGAAGTTGGCCTGGAAGTACCAACATTATTTTTATTTGTTTGTCTGTTTTTATTTTTTTTCCCTTATTTCTTCCACCCCAAGATCCTGGACACCACTTTCCTACTCTGTTTCTATGAGTTTGACTTATTTTTTATATTCTACACATAAGTGATACCGTGCATCCATGCAGTATTTGTCTTTTTCTGTCTGGCTTATTTCACTTAGCATGATGTCCTCAAGGTCCAACCACGCTATCATGATGGCAGAATTCCTTCTTTCTTGTGGCTGAATAATACTCCATCGTATACAGATGCCACGTCTTCTGCATCCAGCCACCTGCTGACAGGCAGGTTGTTTCCGTATCTTGGCATTTGTGAGTAACGCTGCCACGATCAAGGGAGTGCAGGCATCTCTTCCATGTCCTGTTTTCATTTTCTTTGGATGAATACTAAGAAGTGGTAATGCTAAATCCTACAATAGTTCTATTTTTAATTTTTTGAGGAAGCTCCATACTGTTTTCCACAGTGGCTGCACCAATTCACATTCCACCAACAGGGCACAAGGGTTTCGTTCTTTCCACATCCTTGCCAACATTTGTTATCTCTTGTCTTTTTGATAATAGCCATTTTAACAGGTGTGAGGCTGTATCTCACCATGGTTTTCATTTGCATTTCCCTGGTAATTTGTGATGAATACCTTTTCACGTACCTGTTGGCCATCTGTATGTCTTCTTTGGAAAAACACCTCTTCAGGTTTTCTGACCACTTTTTAATCAGATTGTTTGCTTTTTTTTTGCTATCAAGTTGTATGAATTCTTTGTAATTTTGGATATTAACCCTTTATGAGATATATGATATGCAAATATCTTTCTCATCCATTAGGTTCCCTTTTAATTGTGTTGATGGTTTTCTTTGCTGTGTAGAGGTTTTTCAGCTTGATGTAGTCCCACTTGTCTACTTTTGCTTTTGTTGCCTTTGCTTACCAACACTTTTATCTTTTAATTTGTCAAAGGTCTTTCAGAGGTCAGAATTTCATATTGGAGACAATGAGGAATACGAGATCATGTTCGCTACTAAAGCCCTCCACAGGAGACAGAGTATCTAACTTACACTGCTCTAGAGCCATATTGGGTGAGTTGAGCTGGCAGAGCTTATTTTGATTCCTTTTGCTTCCGCCTTTTCCTTTTGCTGCTACCTGACCAATCACATCCATGACTGAGAAATATGGTCAATCAGGAAGTTCACTCTTGTCCTTCTACTACATAGAATCTGTTCAGATCAAATTTTGGAGGACAAAGTTCAATAGTTTAAGACAAAAACTGCATATGTTACGTTGCAATGCAATTAATGGATTTAGTTCTGATAGTCACACAAAGCAACTAGTTCCTATATTTTTGGTAGAGGGCTTCAAACAGTCATCCTATGATGTTCTAGTAGTGATATTCTAGGAATTGGGGGTTCCATTTCTTATATTGAGTACTTATGTTCCCTAACCCCCTCAAAAAAGGCAGAGAAAAAGAGATCAAGTTACTAGATTAAAATACAAGAAAAAAATGTCTGAGTTTTTCCTTCATAACTTTACTTTAATCTTTGGCTCCTGCCTCCTCTGTTTAATGCTAAAACCTAGTAAAAGATGACATCTGATTTATATACTTAATTATTTTAAGCTTTATTTGCCAATACTTCACGTTCTTCAAAGATTATCCCTACTCCTCAGTGTTGTGCTTTAAGAACCAGCCTGTGGATTTCTGTTGTAACACTTAAGCTACTTCCAGTAAAGTGTATTAAGCCACTTCATTTTCCATACTGTTCATTTTACATTGAGAAACAGCAGACTACATTAACAAGGAATTAAAATGTTCTCTCTTTTTTAAAAACAGCCACTAATAGTGCATGATTACATTAAAATCTCTCTGTTAACATAAACCTTGTTTATACCTTTACTCTGCTATCCAAAATAAAGATGTGTCTCTGTATAGGCATCATTTGCATTAAAAACCCAGCTTATAATAACTAATTTTGTGCCTGCATTCCATTAGAACAATTGGTATTGTACTATTATTTAATTAAAACACATCTATATAAACTAAACACTCCTCACCATTAAAGAACTTCTTGAAAAATATGTTTGTAATTGGGGAAAAAAACAAATTGCTCTGATTGCTAAAGGGTTCTTTGCTACAGCAAAACAGAAGGAGTTACATGTAAGATTAAAAATGATCACCTTCCCATGTCAAGAAATGGAACCATCCATCCCATTTCCACAATGCTTCCAGATAAAGAGGACAGCATGAGTAGTACCTGAAGCCAGTTTAAATATCTGTTTTAATCCCAACAACATCATTGATTTGAATATTTATAATATAATTACAATGCTTAGTGCATGTTGTTCATATAATCTAATTTTTCCTGCTGACACATTATTGCTAGGCTTTAATTTCAGCAATAGCAAGAACTCAGAAACACTTTAAGTTATCATTAGTAATGAAGAACAAACCTGCTGCTTATTCAGGTGCCTTGTGCACACAGCTCATTTCAGCTTCAAAGCATGTTTAACTAGCGGGACACCATCCACTGCTTCATGATTTGGACAGTTTCACAGAATATTATCAACCCGTGGCCAGCTACTTTATATTAATGCCATGTAAGGCAATTAAATTTGAAATAACTCCACCCTTGTGCAACATTTGTAAATGGCCCTTCAGAAAATTCCAAGACAGTCACAGCCAGTGAAAACCAAACCATTGTAAGATGCCACTGTCTTATATCCAGCCACCTGTATCACCCACTACTTAGCAGTTGCCTGAATTGCAATTTTTCGTTTTTTTTAGATGTCACAGCAGAAGCATGCTGCTATGGCTAAAAGGATAAAAACCCTCAAGTCACATTTCACTAACCATTAGCGGACAAACAAAACACCAAGTGCCTTGTGTTGAGTGGCACTGAGGTTTTCCAGGGCGCACTTGCACTTTCCCAGTGACAGGCTGAAGAAATTTGAGAAGAAAAAAAAGGCTGAAACCTGAATAACTGAATTCTACAAGAGTGTACAAGCAAACAAATGCTAGCAAAAGAAATATTCTGAATTCCGAACGCCAAGTGAAGTAGTTGTCATCAACAAATTATACGATTTCATGTTAATGTGAGGGAGGGTTACAAAGGCCCTTGGACATGTCCTACACCACCTGTGCACCTGTGCAGAAAGTCGGGAAGAGCACCTGAGGCTCCAGGCGAGGCTAATGGAGAAGTAACTGCCATTTCTCACACCCTGGTTGCCATGCTTTTAGGAGGGCTGAGAATTGCGGTTTGAATGGGATTGTTGTCATGTTTGTTTGCAACATGATACCACATCACAGTAACAAAAAGTCATGAAAAAATAAGTAGGCTCATTACTAAAATATCTCCCATCAAACTCAAGAAGAGAGAAAACTCTCCCAGGGTAATAAACCAGCTACAACAGAGGATCACTTGCAATGAATACAGGAAATGCCACTTGGTATTTACAACAATAAACACTGCTACTTAACAGAATTCAGGGTGCGTACCAGATTTTTCAGATAGCTGAGTAATTTTTATCTGCATCATACAGCTCCCTGTGGGCCTCATCTGAGGGTGGTCCACTCCTTAGCCATTTTAGAAACGTCTGAAAGTCATTCTTTATGAAAGTCCATTTCATTATTCAGGGATTAACTTCTTCACCACAAACATGGGTAGATACACAACTCTCTTTCTCCCTGAAAATGACGGGATGCCTAAACCTTCAGAGCGGACTTTGTCCATAGTGAAGGCACAATGACAAACGAGCAGAGGAGATATATACCCCAGAACTTTCATCTGCTCTAACCCTGCAAATGGGCACAGAGCCAAAACGTTTTTTTGGGATGTTATCCAAAGAATTAAGACATGGAGCAATTTAAATATTTGGATCACAGTAAACAGTTTTTTGGCAATATTAATCATGATGCTATAAGCAAAGATTTTCTTTACATAAAAAAGCAACCAAATGTGCTTATCTGCTATAACAGATGGTGACGATATGTATTCTTCTTATTCCCTAGTGCTATTCATTATCGTAGTCTGTTTGCACTTCATTTTCTTGTTCTTAAGGCTCCCTCGACTTCCATTTTCCAGTACTCTATACCCCATTCCTTCATTCACAAACGGTCATTGAGCACTTCCAAAGACTAGGGCACATGCCAGGTGCTATACGTGATGCCCAGCAAAGTACTGCCACTCCCTTTCTTTTTTTCTTCTAATAAATGGTAGCAATCATTTCTGATGGCTAGTTCTATATAATTTGAATCCTCTTTATCATATCTTACTTCGTAAAGTGACAAAATATCAACAAATATAAAATATATCAATTAATTTACATATTGATTTCTTTTTGCTGGTGAGATAATATTACTAATTATTTATTTCCATGATGATAACAAATACAATATATATGTCACCATAAAAACTAGAAGTTCTTTAGAAGAATCTCAGGATTCTTTCATAAATCTATAAATCCTTGAACACAGACACAATAATGGATATACTGAAGAAAAAGAAAACCAATTCCATGCATCTTTAGTTTGCAAATCCCATGAATATAATAAAAGAATAGCATGTTGATGATTTCTGTAAAGAATATTGCTCAACCATACATCCCCAGATAAAGGACAGAACTTCAAACATGGATAAGGATTTCTCTAAGCCACATGTGGGCATCAATCCCTATCATTTCTTATATCACTTCTATGTGACTCATACACAGTTTTTGCCTTTTACATAGTGAAATACGGGGTCTTAAAATCTGATGCAAGAAAGAGAAAATGAAGTCCTTTCTGAAAGCTTACAGCACTTTTTTCTGGGTACATCAGGAGTCATGCACAGAATAAGCAAAGCCTGTTTGCTTACCTTGGTAGACTTCCAGCTAACTCTGTGGTTGTCTCTCTGGAAGGGAAAAAGATAAGTATGATAAGCTTATTTTGTTAAGTTCTAAAAATGTGTTTAATAAAACCATAATATAATATGTCGAGGAATAATGGTATCATATATTCAATTCACAAAAGATACTGTGTATGCAACTGTTGATTTAACATTGTCTAATAACATTTTTGATTAATTCCCATAAACATTTCAATGGCTATTTTCAAAGGAAAATTTGTACACATGTGAAATACCTGTCTTTGCTTCCTGGCAGTAAGACTTAACTAAGTTTAAAACATTAAAATTTAAAAATGTACAACATACAGAAGGAAATAGGAAGAAAAAAATCCTAAACCACCAAAATATCTAAAATATTTTAGATATTCTCCACTTAAATAAAACATCATCTTCTCTTCCCAAGAGTCATTTAGGAATAAATTCTGTTGAAAACACGCCTTCACATGCCTCTGTCACCTGAGGTTTATGAAGGAATACATATTGCACAAAATCTAATTCCTTTACTAGCAAAGTACTGTTTTTCACTTCTTTGTTACCATGTCCCACCAGCTGGGATTATTGAAGGAGATGCTATGATAAGTCAAATGGTACAAAAGACAAGTCACTAGTTGAGTGACCAGACACAAATTTAAAAACTAAATTTTTCCTAATTGCAGTATCTTGTCCTTCCATCAGAGATGGGCTCTTGAAAATAATGAGAAGTGAGGAGGAGGAGATTGAAGATTGATGTTGAGATATTTTTAAAGTGCAGGCGGGCTTCCTGGTTGGACGGGGAGGTGGGCACGCCTGAAGAGAACACGGAAGCTCCATGCACCACGGCCCTCAGCATCTCTTCCCTCTGGCTGTTCCTGAGTTCTATTCTTTCTAATAAACCAGTGATCCGGTGTGCATCACAGTGACAGAGTGAAAGACAGTGAATTACTGCTTCAGAGGGATTAAGGCACACCCTTCACCTAGAGGCCTCTAGTCAAAACAGGAAGATAAAACTCAGATTTCAATTGGGAGAATACAACTTTTTAAAAAATTTATCTTTAGAGGGGAAGGGAAAGAGAGAAATATCAGTGTGTGGTTGCCTCTCATGTGTCTCCTGCCGGGAACTAGCCTGTAACCCAGGCATGTGCCCTGGCTGGGAATCAAACCACAATCCTTTGGTTCACAGGCCCGAGCTCAATCCACTGAGCTATACCAGCCAGGGCGGGAAAATACAATTTTTGATATGCTTTGGACACTTCTTCTTTGCAAGCAGTAGAGTCTTCAGAATGTTTGTTTCACTTTCTCAAGGAGATTTCCATTAAAAAGGCACAATCATCTGGTGGTGGTATCTATTTTCAAGTTCTGTGAGATCTAGATCTTGATTTGGAAGTTTCTGAGAAAATGTTCAGTGTCTGAATTAATAGCAGCATTACCAATGAAGGTCCTCTTGATGTCCTCCCTGGACATCCTTCTCAACCGCCCGACCCTGCACAGCTCTTCTCTGTGATCCGTTCCACCAGATGTCCTCAAAACTAGCAGGCCGAAATGAGAAATGGCTAATGATTTCCCACCACTTTTCTGCCCCCTCTCCAGTGATAGGCTGCTGTCAGCTTCTGCTTCCTGCCCCAGCCCCAGAATGGACTGAATATTTGCCCTCAAAAAGAAGTTCAGCACATGTCCTTTTGAATAAATATCAGGTTGACTTCTTGCTGTTTTTTTGTGTGTATGTGTATAACTGTGAGTGATATCACACTTGCAGTTGTTTCCTATGGTGCTTGGAAATATCTTAAAGGTACAACTGCTGTTGTATTTTTGAAAATTTTAAGTTGTCTTTTAATAGAGGGTGCTACTCTGAATGTGATGTTAAGTACAGAAAAAAATCAAAGAACGAGCTAGCATCTTGGTCTGAGGGCAGGATTTCAGAGACACACCTAGACATGGAGGGAGGCAGGGAGGGAGGGAGACGGAGCTGGAAAGAGAGAGGAAGATGCCAAAGGAGAGTGGAGAAGAGAGGAAGGAGGAACGTTTGGTTGTATATTGCATGGAGTTGAGGCCTTCTAGAAAAATTAAGACCCAAAATAAAGCTGACATTTACTTCTTGTAAAAACCTTTGCAGAAGAAAACAATAATGAAAGGACTGTTTCTTCTGGACAATAAAATGTGGAAGGAGCAGTCCTATTTATCATCTTTATAGTCAGAGTGGCAGAGTTTAGAAAGGAAATTTGCTCTTATCTAGGAATTAAGGCTTTGTCACTGGGCAGCTGAGAGTGAGGATTACTTTACTTTCCATGGAGAGCTCTCTCTAAATATTATTTGCAATTAAAAGGTTTACATTACTTTTCAATATTCAAATATAATTTTGAGTTGCACAGCAATCCATGTTTATTGTAGAAAATTTGGAAAATATAGAAAGACCTCCAAAAGAAAATAAAATAACCTAGAAGTATATAAACTACAAAGAATTTTAATGTATTTCCATTAAGTACTTGTTTCTATATAAGTAGAATCATACTGTGTACAGTTTTAAATTCTTTCTGTAACAATAAAATAAAAAATAATATTTGATGGCTGTATTATTTTTAAAAAGTGTAATTCTTAGGAACACTAGTGCAGCCACTTCTTTGGGTCATCGGATCACTTAAAAAATATAAACACCTTACCTACAAAACTATAACAATAAACCCATACATATACATACAAAATGTGATATGCAAATGTAGATGGTCTATAGACCTTTCAAAACAAATATGTCAGCCCTGATTTAGAAATCTCGGCTTTAAACTCGCATTGTCTTTACTCATCTTGTCAATTCAAATAAAGGACTTCTCCTCCATGAAGTGCCTGGGGCCCTCCTGGCCTCTAGAATCTTCTCCTACTTATTGTCGGTAACAGAAACATCCTGGTTCCCTGAGACTTGACCTGCCTTAAATAAATGAGTGATTCTAAGTTCAACTGCTATAGAGATGTTCTTTCCTAAACAACCATACAATATTATCTCTGTCTTTCAATGGTAGAGAAACTGGCTTTTGAGAGAAAGTTTTCATTGCTTCAGCAAAAACCACAGTTGAAAGCTTTGCCCACTACACAGACGAATGCTTCACATCTATTCATCTCTTCTAAGAATTCAGTGCCTGCGTAAGAAATTTCTCTTCCAAACGGAACCTGGAATTGTGGACACCCCAGCTGAGACGTACCCGTCCCTTTCATCTCCCTTTATGACATTTATCACAACAGAAATATCTTTTAAATTTTATTACTTTTCATTTTGTCACCAACATATGTGAATACTCAATAAGTCTTTGTTCAATTTGTATGGAATGAATTAATGAACTTTTCTGAACTTCTGCTGCCTATGGTTTAGAACTTGATCATAGTAACAACAGCAGCCTCAGGTTGATGTACAGTTAGTTACCCATCCTTCTTTCTCATCTTTTAACTCTTTATTTTTGCTTTCCAGATGATTATCCATATTTTAATAGTATGAGTGCCCCAGTATCTTTTTAAACTACCTAGGACATATGTCATAATAAGTCCACTTACAACATTTCTCAACCTCACATTACGCTGACATTTTCCTGTGTCCTGAGGGACTGTTCTGTGCATTGTAGGGTGTTTAGCACCATCCTTGGGGCTCCCCCCAATAGATGCAAGAGATATCTACTCCCCTCAACTCCCATTTCTCACAATCAAAATGTCTCTCCACATTGCCAAATATCCCTGAGGGGCAAAACTTCCCTCGATGGAGAACCACTGCAATACAGCAATAAAATGTAGAGTCGATAACTGACTTCTGTTTCAAAGCCTTACTGGATTAACGAACATCCTCCATCCCCATGGGAAAAAACTTAGCGACAGCCCTCTCAGAATGCCGGTCTCACTTTGGCTCCCGCTCCCTCAGTCGGCCTGCTTACCAGGAAAGAGCATGTTGCATTTCTTCCCTGAGCCACTTAGGTTAGTGGTACTCGTTCTAATTTTTACATCTGATTCAACATGATATAAAATCAACGAACTATGAGTAGGAAAAACTTTGTTTCTTTGAAAACAAAGTCAGATTCCTTGGAAAGATTAAAAATAACAAGCCATTTAAGAAGACATGTTGAATTAGGTCTGGGGGCAAGACTGTTATAAATACTGGGGGACAAAAGACAAGGTTTACACAGTGTTTTTCTTTTTTTACCCCTCCTAACAAATAAGCCAGAAATTCCTGAATAGTGACGTATGGGTGTGATTTTGGAGGAACGACAATGTGTAAGGCCACTCAGTGGATCCACACATGCAACAGAAAGATGCTGGCCTGACCTTTACGGCAAAAGGCAAAAATGTTGGGGAAAAAGTTGTGTTCTCCACATAGTGAGTACTAGCAGGGGGAAAGTATGTTTTATACAACCGTGCACTCAAAAGGTAACCTTCAAGTTATAGACATTACTTCATAGGAAGAGTAAGTACCGGTGAACATAAATGAATGGATGAACACAGGTAAAGTGATGTCACCTAAAGACCTGATGATTCCACTGGAGCGTGTAGCCCCATGATTTTCAAAAATGTACAAAGAAAGTACATTTCTTTGTATCAGACTGCTCCGGTGCAGCCAGGACTCAACCAACAGCCACTTTTCAGACCAGCAAAACACTAAAGCTTTTAAAATGATGAACTGTTCGTTTTTACCTGTTTACTATTGCTGACAGATGATCTGAATTATTCATCTTTCCATAAATTTATACCTTTTGTAAAAAAAAAAACCCTTGGGGAAAATAAATTTAGCAGAATATGCTATGTTTCCAGAGACGACACTCCATAATCCAATAGAGAGAGCTTACAGAAGGCGCCATGTGGAAACTGTTCAGGGCGGTGAGACTGGTCTGTAGGATGGTGTAATGAGGGACACAGGGCATCACACATTTGCCCAAACACACAGACTGCACGTCACTAAGAGTGAGCCTGAAGGTCAACAGTGCACTTTGGGTGAAAATGTTGTGTCTGTGTAGGTTCATTGATTCATTAATGAAGGTTCAGCTCTGAGCGAGGATGTCGAT